GATGAAGGGAGCCTCTTTGAGAAGACGAATGTTTCACCTCCAGCAGCCTGCAGTGCAGCGACGGCTTCCGCGAAGGGAACACAGCCCCACCGAGAGGCATGAAGACAAGAGGCTGTTTCAGAATTTCTAGGCGTGGGGAGACATTTTATCATGAGAATAAAAGAGTGTAAGAAATTACCAGCTGGGAAATCTCTTGCCTACTTTCCATCGTTCTCTCCCAGGAGAGGGACGCAATTAATTTTAAGATTTAAATTTAAGCCTTTTCTCTCTGGTTGCTCTGCAACAAGAGCAAAAAGGCTGAGGCTCCCTCTGCTTCGTGGTAAAACCAATTAAAAAGCCTAAGAAAACAAACAGGGGTCATTTCGTAGAAAGAGAGGTGCAGGAGCTCATTAGCATAACTTATTTGCATAACTTATTTGCATATGCCACACCCCCTGACATCACCGGAAGTGTGTCAGAAGGCAACACCCACCACTCAGGCTCCACTGGACAGTTTTGGATTGCTAGCTATCGGGGGTGGGGGGGACATGTAGATCTGTCCTCACAGAGGAGGGAGAGCTTGTACCTGAATAAAAACCTGGTCTTAAAAGTGCCACTGGACAGAGGGGGGGAGCTCTGCAGCTTACCTGGCTGCTTCTTGCTCTCACTGAGGGCTGCTGGGAGCAGGGGGTGGGGCTTATTGCATGTACCTGCCCCCTGGGCTCTTTACAGCCGGAGCTCCGCTCCTGTGCGCTCCTGCAGGAAATGACCCCTGCACACACACATTTTTTCTCTCTGCTTGGTTTATCTGATTTCCTTGATATGTCATGCTTCGGGGTACCCCAAGGCCAGATACTGTTTACCAACCAGTAATTGCAAACAAGGCCTGAATTCATATTAAAACTGACCAAACTGGAGTTTGGTTAAAAATGCCTTTTTGAGTATTGATGATTATTTGACGGAAATGGAAGATTTTTTATCAACTATCAAGATTTTTAGCCAGAGACAAGAAGGCCAGAGGTGTTTCTGTTCTTCAACCCATTTTTTGATTTTCCTAACAGGCGATTCTGCCTGAAGGGGAAAGGGGTTCACTCACACCAACTTCCACATGGTCTGATCCGTGGTCATCTTGCTTGTGGAGGAGCTCGAAGTAGTAGTGTCTGGAGGAGAGGAGGCTGTGGGGGAAGCAAGAACGGATCATTAGAAAACAGCAAGTGTCTTCCCAGCGCTCCAGGACTACCATGCTTGTATGCTGCTGTAATGTATTCAATAAGCTGCCATTGAATGCATAATGCGTGATGAAAACATCTAATTGAAATGCTATGTTAAGCTTCGTCCTGGGCTAGGATCCAAATACATCCAATCACATTGCTTGCCCAGGAAGCACCTAACCAATCACTATCAACAAGCTCCCTGAGCGGGAATGTCCGTGATTGGTCCTTATGCATACAACCTTATTGGTTGGTAATTGTACAGTAGGCGTGGCTACATTAGCCGGGAGAGTTTAAAAGCAGGACAGTTGCAATGGAAAAGCTGTTCTGGCTATCAGATGTTGATCCGTGTTCGAGTTGTGTTCGAGTTGTGGAATAAAGCTGAATCTTTGCTGAATCACTCTCCGACTACTTTGTTAAGCGAGCGACTTAACAGCTGCCATCATAGAACTACCACACCCTTGGGAGAATTCTCAGCTGCAGCAGATGCTGGGGGCTATGGGGCAGAGGCATTACATTCAGGAATCTCACAGATGACACTGGCAAAACCAGCTCCCAACCACCCTTTTCTGAACTGAACCTTCAGCACCATGTTAATCCATTGACAGAGAAAGACAGGCAGGACGGTGATGGTATCTGGCTGTTCTCTTAGCAGTTTCCTCACTGGGAAGCACTTAACAGGCTGCATTATTACAGGGCGCTTCAGTGTGACTTAGCTGGTTCCCTCGCTCGAAAGCCAGTCGAGTCCGACTCTGTTTCCAAGCCAAAGAGCCAGCGCTGTCCGAAGACGTTTCCGTGGTCATGTGGCCAGCATGACTAAACACCAAGGCGCACGGAACGCTGTTACCTTCCCACTGAAGTGGTACCTATTTATCTACTTGCAATTTCTTGCTTTCAAACTGCTAGGTTGGCAGGAGCTGGAATTAGAGACGGGAGCTCACTCCATCACGCGGCACACTCGGGTCTCGAACTGCTGAACTACTGAACTGCTGAACTTCCACAGCTTGCAGTTCAGTGTCTTAACCACTTGAGCCACCGCAGGTCCTGATTTAGCTGGCACCAGAGAGATAAAAATAAGTACCCCTTAGCCAAACTTTTGTATTCCCGGTATCTCACAAAGAGTCATGACTCCCCTGGGTCCCCTACTGGCTAAACAGGAAAGTTGCTAGAAGAGGCTGACTCAGAAGCATGCTCTGTACAAAATGTTGTATTTTCCTCCCTTCCACGTTTCTGCACAAAAGATCCCCATATTGTGCATTCATGGAATAGACTTTGCAGATGTGTGAAAACTCACCTCATCTGCATAGTATATTCTCATGGCAATATGCACGTTTTCACAGAATCGGGAACCATTCAGCAATGCCTGAGGTAAGAGAGGACAAGAGATACTATAGCGGTTCGGTAGGCGTAACTGGAAAGTCTGTGCTTCGGACAAAAACTCACGAGGAGTCCTTAGGCAAGCCCCTATTCTCCCATCCTTAGTTCCCACAAAAGTCTCCAATAGGCCTGGAGAAAATTGTCCTGTTCCTTTAATCAAAGTTTAACGGGATGTTATTTGCCTCCATGGCATGAGAAGTTTCACCTGCTAATCTCCATGCATTATGCCTCTATTAAAAGGACAAGTTTCTCCAGGCCTGAAGGCAACCCTTCCATCCATCCTATTCCATCTTAAATACAAGGATAATAAATCAAAGTTCAACGGGATGTCATTTGCCTCCACGTCATGAGAAGTTTCACCTGCTAATCTCCATGCATTATGCCTCTATTAAAAGGACAAGTTTCTCCAGGCCTGCAGGCAACCCTCGCTTCCATCCGTCCTATTCCATCTTAAATACAAGGATAATAATTGAATTACTTAATTCAGGTGGGTACCCATGTTTGTCTGAAGCAATAGAACAAAGTTGGAGTCCAGTGGCACCTTTAAGACCAGCAACATTTAATTCTGGGTACAAGTTTACGTGTGCACACACACTTCTTCAGATACACTGACACAGACTTCCTCTAGCCTTTCATATAGTTGCCAGGAAGAGCCAGTTTGGTGTAGTGGTTAAATGCGCGGACTCTAATCTCGCAGAACCGGGTTTGATTCCCCACTCCTCCACTTGCACCTGCTGATGTGACCTTGGGTCAGTCACAAGCTTTGGCACAGCTGTCCTTGAAAAAGAGCAGTTTGTGTCAGAGTGCTCTCAGCCCCACCAATCTCACAGGGTGTCTGTTGTGGGGAGGGAAAGGGAAAGGAGTTTGTAAGCCGCTCTGAGACTCCAAGTGAAGGGCGGGGTATAAATCCAATCTCTTCCTCTCTTCTTCTTTCTAGTTAGAGTCAAGATGCATAAGTAACTGAGTGATTATAGCTGAGATTGCATTAAAGCAGTTGGTAAGACTTGTGAATAGCAGCAAATTAGCATAAAAATAAAAGAGAAACAGATGTCAGAACAAAGTTTGAATCCAGTGGCATCTTTAAGACCAACGAGTTTAATTCTGGGTATAAGTGAGAACTGAGTTGCGCTTCTGGTTTGTGGGTTGGCGATGGCAGTCGCTCTCATCAACATCTGGGGAGGCAATTAGCACACCAGTGGTAAGGAGGGGTGCTACCTCAAATGGTACCCCCACGGAGCCCTTGTGATGGGTTCCAGGCCAGAGGGCTTCTGAGGGTTAGCCTCTTCGACGGCTTGATGCTGGAGAATAGAGGCTTCCCTCCGTCCTGATGGTCCTGCCGCTGAGTGACCTTCGGGTATAAGCTAATTCGACCGGGACAGGCGCAGGAGATCGAGCGGAACAACGATGAAGAAAGCGAGGTCAGATATATGACCATCAATGAATGTGAGTTCGAAATAAACGGACTATTGTGTTAAAACGGGTACTCCCCCCGTGGGAAAAGAAGGGACGCCTCCTAAGCGCATGAATGGACTAACGCAGCAAAGGGGGTAGGAGGGAAATAGTGAGGTTTTTTTCTGAGAGACTTACTTGAGTACCAATAGTAAAATGACGAGTCTTTCAAGCCCTGGCATAGCGGTTTGATTGTGTAAACAAAGAGGAACATGGCGGCTTCCCGAGGAAAGTTTAAATCGAAACCAGGCAGTCAGAGCCCAAGACCGGAAGAGGGAGCAGGCGTCATGAAGTTGCTAGCGGATATGCTGAAGCCGGTAATGGAGCAACTCGGTGGTATTAACCAGCAACTGGCCACACTAAACCAAAACTTCGCTCTGCAGCAGCGCCAGCTGGCAGAAACGGAAAAGGAAGTGGAGCATGTAACTGAGAAAATTACAGAGATGGATACCGCAAATAAGAAGATGAAGAAAAGCGTGACGGATGTGGAAACAACACAAAAACTTCAGGAAACTCATTTGTTATAGCTCCAAATGGGAAAAGCTAACATGATCCTCAGATTTCAGGGGGTCCCTGAAACTGAAAAAGAAGATTTGAAGAAGACTCTGGGAGAGATCATCGCTCCAGTAACAGACTTATCAGCGGATGAAATAGTAAAAGACATGGAGGCTGCTTATCGGGCATACTCCAATTATATTAAAAAAATAACCTGCCTGGTGGTTAGATTTGCAAGAAGACAGACCAGAGATGCTGTATTAAAGGCAACTTCGACAAATCCACTGAAAATTGGGAATACAATCATTAAGACTTTAAAAGATATTCCATTTGAAATTCATCAAAAGAGGAAAGGCTACAAGGGATTGATCTCATTTCGTCAAACTAATGGAATTCAGTACAGGTGGGCAATTCCTGAAGGTGTAATTTTTAAAGTCAACGATAAAAGAGAGAAGATTGACTCCATCTTTAAAGCTAAGGAATTTTTGAGACGTCAGCTTGGGCCGGAGGAAGAACGTAAAGATGAAGAAACCAAATCAAGTGCCTCTGCTACTTCGGGAACGGACGAGGACTCTGTGTGTGAAGCGGGTGTGGGAGCGGGAGCAATGAAAACTGTATATGACTTTAGGGATAGAAAACCGAAGTAAGGGCAAAAGGACTCTGTAACTTGCTCTTTGAAGTAAAGAAGATCTCAAGAAGTACTCTCACAAAGACTAACTTACTAATATAGAAGCTGTGTTAAACAAGAACTTCACAAGTATATTGCATTACTAACACTGGTATCACTAACACTTAGATTAACATGGAAATGATCTCCTACTCTTGGGTTTTTAGTTAGTGTGGGTATCTTTTCTTTATCCTTAGTTGTAGTTCCCCCTCCTATATTTTTTGTTGTAGTTAATAGTCTTATGAAAAATAATAAAAATACTCCCTTGGGGGTTTCAAAAAAAAAGAAAAGAACTGAGTGACTTAGCATGCATAGATGCACACTTCTTCAGATACATTAAAACAGACTTCCTCAAACATTACAGAGAGGGTGGGGGTTAGTTGCCAGGAAGGGCTAATTAGAGTCAAGATGCATAAGTGACTGAACAATAAGTTTAGCTAAGGCACTCAATGGGGGACCTTAAAGCAGCTGTTTTATTGCAAAGGAATTTCAGAAACAGACTAGAATGAGAGATTGCTGAATTACAAGTTATTACAACATTCAGGACGCGGACCCCCAGGGCTTAACAGAGATATCGGGTTCTTATCACACTACACATGGGAAATCACTCAGTTCTTGCTTATATCCAGAATTAAACTTGGTGGATCTTAAAGATGCCACCGGACTCAAACTTAGTTCTCATATCTGTTGTTAACTCTTTTATTATCTGCATGCTAATTTGCTGCTAACCACAGGTCTTACCAACTGCACCAGTCCAATCTTAGCCATGCTTATGGCTCAGTCACTTATGCATCTTGACTCTAATTAGCCCTTCCTGGCAACTAACCCCCCACCCTCTCTGTAATGTTTGAGGAAGTCTGTTTTAATGTATCTGAAGCAGTGTGCATCTACCGTGTTTCCCTGAAAATAAGACACTGTCTTATATTTATTTTTTCTCAAGAAGACACACTAGGGCTTATACCACAAATGCATCCTGCTAGGGCTTATTTTTTGGGTAGGTCTTATTTTCGGGGAAACAGGGTATACATGCTAAGTCACTCAGTTCTCATTTATACCCAGAATCAAATTTTGTTGGTCTTAAAGGGGCCACTTCTGACACACTTCCGGTGATGTCAGGGGGTGTGGCATATACAAGTAAGTTATGCTAATGAGTTATGCTAATGAGCGCCTGCACCTCTTTTTCTACGAAATGGCCCCTGCTTGTAACATCAAAAGACGTTTATGGGGGAAGGGAGCTGAACACCCCCCACTATACCTCCCAGGGGTCCATTGCCACAAGCACGTTTCTCTGAGCTAAGCTCTGATCCTGAAAGCCAGTGGGACTGAAAGGAAAAGTGCCTGAGGCAATGGACTGCAGGGAAAAATACAGTAAGGGGAGGTCAGTTCTGGTATCCTGTGAATGAATTTTGATAATAAAAGTAACCCCTCCAGCTTTACATGCGAACACTGGAAGAAAGAGACAGAGGGTGCAGGAGACCAAAAACGGGTGCCATGAATTCGGGGGGGAGGGGGGGACAACACACATAGTACACAGAGCCTCTGCTTGCCAGTTCCTGGAAACCCTAGCCACAGTTTCCTTTAGTAACAGAGTCTGTATCACACACCGCCTACGTAGTTCTTTCTGTACAACTGTGATGGGTTAAAACATTCCAGCTCTTTAATTTCAAATTGTCTGAATATCTACAGAGGTAAAAAAAATCTGAGTCAGATTCCAGGCTGTGTAGCAGCACTTAGGATACACACAACCTTTATAGGGACTTGGCACAGGAAGTGAAACAAGAAAGACTACGATGAAATTTCAAACGCCTGGAAAACAACCATCCATGCCGAAGAGGAGAGTACTAATGAAGGGAAAGGTGGGGAGCTACAAGGAGATGCAGAAGTAAGTCACGGGCATGAAGAGAATACTGTCAGACATTCCAGATAGAACAGATGCACCCATCCAGCTGACAGAGGCTGGACACGAAAGCTGCATTTGCAGCTCAGATCCTGCTGCACTGACACTGTTGCCCGTCAGTCCCTATAACTGAACACAGAGAGCTCCTGAAACCCTCCTCAAACACATTCACCCGCTTGGTGTGTTGCATGCTGCTGCCATGGTAACGACATCCATCTCTCACACCACAAGAAAAAAACGCTCTCAGCCTGGAGCTGCCTGAGACAACAGACACTTGGGATGCTGGCCTGGTTTCACAACAGCAGAAACTCTGCAAGCCAAGAGAACTTTGACGCTTCACATGTAGGAGGATCTCAATTGTTGGGAAGGAGATGAGGTCCAAACACACATGGAGAAGGGGGAGGTGGTTAGAAGCTCCTT